ATATTTAAATGTGTCTTTTAAATGAAGCATAAGTATATTGTGAAAACAGAAGAGAGAGTAAGCGCTTAATAACAAAATGAGGCAGCGACCCTAAAAGGGAATCCCTCAGAAAACCCTTTAAATACAACAAGGAAAAAACAGAAAAAATGGTCTCCTATTTTAGATATATTGATGACCTCTTCTTTTTATCTAGGAAGGTCCAAAAGATCATCTTATTTCTTTTATTAATTATCTTAATATTAATAACAGTGGTATAATTTTAACTTATGAATACAGTAAGGAACAAATCAATTTTTTAGATCTTAATATTTTTATTAAAAACGGACAAATACTATGGAAGAACACAATTTTCAAGGCTTAAAGGCAGGAGGAATCTATAGATATGTAGATCTTTGGTCAGAAGGAGAGGTAGTTTTATTTTCTAGTTTGTTGACCAGAGTAGAACTGAGGACAGGAGATTTGTTTCGTTATCTGCAGATTAGAGATTTTGTGTATTCAATGGAGGTAAAAACGGCAGTTAAATTCCCCTTCACTAATTTTGAAAAAATGTGCAAAATAGGTAGGTTAAAGGGAGGTCTTATCTCTGATTTGTATAATCAACTAAGTGAGGAACCTACGGTTTGGGCTCCATTATATCCTACTGGGAGGCAGATTTAGGTTCTTCTTTGGAAACTAAGGATTGGATAGATATCTGGGAAACAGCATCCAAAATATCGATTTGTGTAATCTCGCAGGAACAAATGTTTAAGATATTATTTAGGTGGCATGTGACCCCTGTTTTTTTGTACAAAATAGGTAAAAATCTGACGGATCTTTGTTGGAGGGGATGTGGTTTACAAGGGACATATTTACACATGTGGTGGTTTTGCCCAAAGATTAAAAGCTATTGGGAGGAAATAAGGGAGCTAATTCAAGTGGTAATACAGGGAAATATAGAACTCAATCCTTGGATATTTTTGCTATCGAAATCAATAGCAGGTATACCCTGCCATTCGCAGAAATTAATATTTTTAATTTTATTGGCCGCATGTAGATGTATAGCCGCTAGCTGGATAAATCTGGATTTACCATCAATGAGGGAGGTGGAATTAAAGATTCAAGAAAATTATATAATGGATGAATTATCATCTAGAGTAAGACATTCTTATTATATGTTTGGTAAGGTCTGGGAACCCTGGAAGGTTTATGCGAATAGGAAGGGTATAGGTAGATAGAGAGGCAGAGGGGGGGAGAGTGTATTAATTTTTTTTTATTTTTTTTTGTGTGTGTAAAAATTTGTATTGATGAATAACTCAAAATGGTGATATTAGAGCTTAAATGCAATCTTTTAGGTAATATTGCTGTTAAATGCATGTTAAAGATTGTATAATGTATAATGAGTTATTTTTTGTTGTTTTTAGTGTTAAATAAAGAAAGAATATTATAAAAAGGAAAAAAAAATACAAAAAAAACCAAAAAAAACGGACAAATACACACTAAGATGTTTTTTAAGAAAGTTTGCGAAAATACTGCAATCGATAAATCCAGCTGTCACTATCAACCCTCGCTTGACAGTGCCCCTAAGAGCAAAATTTTAAGACTGCAAAGAAATTGTTCAGAATTAAATGATTTTAACGAACAAGGAGAATTTTTCAAAAATAAGTTTATTGAAAAAAACTACTCTGAAACAATCTTAACAGATACAATCAATCATATCCAACATAAAGACAGAGTTGAACTCTTAACATATAAAACTAAAAACACAGATGAGCCTATGCCTCTGCCTATCATTTTTAATTATAACAATAAAAGTGGCAATATAAAAAAATCATAAAAAAGCACTGGAATATTTTAAAACAGGATGAAATTCTTAACAAAAGTTTACCGGAACATCCCAATATAGTATTTAGAGGAGCTTCTAATTTTAAATCAATTTTAACTAAAAATTTTACCAGAGAAACAAAATCAAACCACTTTTATCCTTATTTCCCCAAATTAAGGGTTTCTGCAAATGTAAATCGTGTATAGTCTGCAAAACCACTGATCCTACAGTACCATCCAAAATAACTGAATTTACCTCTAAAGTAACGAACAAGGTCTCCAAAATTAATGATTTTATAAACTGTACTAAAAATGTTATTTATTTGCTTGAATGCCCTTGTGGCCTCCAGTATGTTGGAATGACCACAAGGTGCTTAAAAACAAGACTGAGTGAACATTGCAGAAAAATTAAAAATGGATATCTGAATCATTCAGTGTCCAAACATTTTATCAAACACAATAAAGATCCTAGAATGTTAAAATGTATGGGAATCAGAAAATTTACTACTCCCTGGAGAGGAGGAGACATAAAAAACATTCTTGGGAGAACAGAAATTAAATGGGTGTACAAGCTTAAGACCCTTATACCCCATGGTTTAAATGCAGACTTTGATTTATTTAATTTTATTTGATATGTTGTGTAATTTAATCATGCTTTTTTTTATGTTGTATATGGTTTTATATGCCTTTATATATATTTTTTATATATGCTTTATATATGTTTTTTACATGTCTTTTATGTTCTCTTGTTTTTAAGTATTTATGTCCAATAGTCTTTTTAGTACTTTTATTTAGTTCACTTTTAACATCTGATTGTTATTTAGTTTATCCATAATGTACTCCCATTTTCCCCTCCATATATGCCTCTTTAAGTAGGTATTTGCTCCACCAATATGGTGGTCATTCTGATGGCACGCTTCCTATACGTGCGGCCGCCAGTCCTATTGTTCCCCTATCGGCCGCGGTCATTGCGCATGCCGATAGTATGTTTACATATTTTCAGACCCGCCCATCTTCTCTCCCATTGGCCACACCAATCTGACGTCCATTTCCCATGACGTCGGCTGCCTCACCGAGCGTGCCGACACACACTAACACACCTACCGTAATGCACGCATGCACTCTAGGAAACTACAAATCCCATCTATGTGGCGTCAGAAAAGTCACGTGACCGCATAAAATGAAAATCTAGTTAAAAAAAAGTTTGTTTTTACAGTTTATATACTGCATTACATTGTAACTAGTGTGTATTAGCTACATACCACATTTTAAATATGTTTTAGAAAGATTCAAAATATTTTATTTTCTGTATTAGTGAAGGTATTCCTATTGGCTGTCCTCT